GTGGTGGCTCCTGTGGTTGCATCTGCATCGTATAACAGGTAATTGTAGATTGCTGCTGGGCTGCTTGTGCAGAATCCCAAATTCCTCCAGCATTGGTCTCGGGCTGTGGAGAAGAGCTGACATAACCGTTTCCCTCTTGCACGGCTACTTGCTGTTGTTGGGTTTCTGGCACTGAAGGAGGCCATGTTTGTTGTTGCTCTGCGGAGGCAATGGCAGGGGCTTCCAGTTGGGCTTGAGGGGGAGTTGGCCCAGGGGCAGTCACATTAGAGGTTGGCTCTTGGTCACTTAAAGGGGTGGTCACTGCGGTGGGGGCGACAGCAGGTGTGGGTGCACTATTTTCGGCATGCTGAGGCATGTCCTGGTTGGTTACTTCCATCTGTGGAGACCAGGGGGCAGAGCTGGGATCTATCACAGGCTTTGGGGCCACCGGCGGAGGGGTCTTGTGTTTCGACCGTGAGGACTGGAGGAAATTACAAGCCTCAGCGCCAAGGCTGAGGTAGTCTTCCTCGGGTCCTGACTCGAAACCCATCTTCTTGGAACTCATGTTGAGTAGGTTCAGCAGATCAGGATTCGGTGACATCTTTGGTGTCTCTTTAAACGTGAACATGGGCTTGGCAACATTTCTCCTCTTTGAATCCAGAAGGCCCGACCTGATCGCCGGGGTGGCAATGCGCTCATCACGGGAGGCGATCTGCTCTCCTTGGCCTTGATTAGTCCCAGTCATTGCAGGAGAGTACGGTGTCGCCGCCATGTTCTGAACCAAAAAGGGCTTTGCGGTGCGATTGCCGAGAGAACGCTGCGCTTCGTGGCTTTGATGTTGCACGGGGCCGTGCTGACCTTGGTGATACGTTTGCTGTTGCTCGTACGACTGCTGCTGATACTGTTGGTAATGCTGTTGTTGTTGGTACTGCTGCTGCTGCTGCTGGTATTGCTGGTATTGCTGCTGCTGGTTCACATCCATGTACGCGTGGTTCTCCACGGCGGGCTGCGTGTAAGCCGCTTCCACTTTCTGTGCCCCTTCCACGGGCATCCCCTGGCGCCGCAGCTCTTCGTGCTCGGCCGCAATCTCGTCCATTCGCTGGCGCCTCTGGGCGAACATGAGGGCGCCTTTGCCCTTGGTTTCGGGCAAACACTCCATCGGACTTTGCTTCTGCTCAACGTCAAGTAGGCTTTTATCCAAGCAGATCGTCAGTACGCCTTTGCCACTGCGGGCATTCGTGAGGAAATGCGTCTCTAAATCCGACCGGTCTTGATCAGCGAGCGTGAACTCTAGAACATGAACTCCACCCTGGGTGCTGTCGTCGTCCTCCTCCTCTGTGCTGTCGTCTCGCTTGTCCTCTCCCGTGCCGTAGCTCACCAAGGTGTACTTTTTCGCTCTCTGACGGTGTTTCTTGAACATCAACAGGCCCTTGTTGTTCGGGTTGGGCTGCGCGGCACTAAGGAGAAGGGCGATCCGCTTACATTTGGACTTGGCCTCCTTCACCTGCTTCTCGGAGAGACTCTCGCTGCGCCTGAACCCTGCGGGGAGACACATTGATTGACAGGTTGTCTGGTCAAGGAAAGTCAACGATTAAAAAAAACAACCACAACATCAATCGATCACCTCTGAGTTTGCTTTACAAAATGGACCGTCAACATAAATAAAGCACAACAAATACCAATCAAATATTGAGCTGCTTTGTCCAAAATACTATCACGCCATCCACTCGCCCTCATTTGCAAGTCATAAAGCCGCAAAGCAATTACAAGTCTTTGACCCGTGTCAAAGCCGCGGAGAGCACATTGCATTATATCACCATTCCCATAAAGTGGTTGCAAATTTACTCCGATTCACGTCTTCCGAGTCTGCACCGCATTGACGATGAACTTTCAATCATTTAACAATAAGAGGACAAGTATTCGCTTGAATTTTCGGCAAGACTAACCTGAAGGTGGTGAGGGCAGCGCGAGTGAGGATCCAACTCACTCTTTTAGCACAGTTAAAGCACCCTGTCGGAGGGGAGGATCAGGTAACAGTTTTCGGGGTGCACATGTTGGTGTCTGTCAAAAACTTGGTTGAGAGGTTAGTTCATGTGCTTCAACCGCAGATTCAATTCTAATTTTGTGTTTTATATCGAACACAAAAGATCGAAGAAACCCAAAATGCATACAGAACAGAAAAAAAGAAAAAAAGACAAAGGAGGATAGGAGTTTGCTTTAATGGCACTGCAGTGAATGGTACAGAAAGTGCACTGTGTCAAGAAGGAAACACAGAGGAAAAAAAGATGGGAAAAGAAGAACAAAACATGTAAAACATAGCAGCTGAGGAGCAAACATAAAATAAATATGGAAGAACATCTTTTATCTATTCACGGAACAGCATTGTTTGAATATATACTAGAGTTTATATTTTAATGTGGGTCAAAGTGGCTCAAGTTGAAATTCAAGCCGGCTATCCGCGCATCTCCGTTTATTTATAACAGCCAGCATGACGCAACAGCTGACACAAAAAAAAAAAACCCCTCTTAAAATAAATTGACTTGACCGAGGCAAATAGACTCATGACTCAAATGGTCATTTATTTTTCACCTTTGAGCTCTGAGTTGGACGGTGGCATTCGTATTGAATTGCAACCTGAGATTCACGACATCATCCTTACGTCACTGTCCATCGTCAACTTTTCTCATCTACTTCCAGAAAAAAATGTATTCCCTCATTTAATATTCGTTCAACTCACCTTCATTCCTAATTAACCACCACAACGGAGCTTTAACTTTTCAAATACGAACTCTTCCAATAAACATAAAATATACACACAGACTATTGGGCAAGAATCACTCGCTCTCAGCGACCGTGGGCTTCCACACCTGAGCGCAGCTTTTTTTGGCCGTAAACTTTGGTTTTGGCGCCACGCCAGTGTTGCCGCTGGTTGTAGAGCCAGGCGGTGAAACTACAGGGAAACTCGGCGCTACGCTAGCAGGAAGGGGCTGCTGGAAGGCGATTGTTGTGGGTGAAAGGTACGGAGGACTACCAGCTCCTTGATAGGGGACTTGTTGGGGCGGGTACTGGGGACTGGGCAATTGAGGGGTTTGTTGGTTATATGGTTGCCAATAAACACCACCTGGTGATTGCTGGTGAGGATCAGAAGGGGTATAAGCGTTAGAGGTTGGCTGGTAGTTGCCATCGTAGGCTTGCTGGGGGTACGGCGCACTAAATGAGCCAGGTGACTGAACTGGGGCCATTTGCTCATAAGGTTTCTGGTTTTGGGGTGAACAGCTGGGCTTCGGAGCAGGCTCCTTCGCACCTTCTCCTGCAGACCCGTATGTAAAGAGCGAGGCACTAAGTTGGTAGGGTTGATGCTTCATGACATCAACGACATCAAGTGGTTTCGGGGCAGGTCCTTGTTTGCCTTTTTTCTTGGCTTTGGACATAGGGCCGCTAGAAGGGGGCTGCTTCGACGCGGCCGGCGGATAAGAGGGGGACTGGATGGGATTGAAACCCCGTGACGGCGGAGCACGTACGTTAGGGGTGTATTTCCACTCGTTTGGCAAGGAGGCAGTCGGCGACGTGGATCGACTCGCCATATGGGCCTGCACGGTCTCCGAGTCCACCACGTACTTCTCCATGCGGGACTGCCTCTTCGCAAACATGTCAGCTCCTTTCCCTCGGACGGCCGGCATCTCGTAAGCTGAACTGGCAGACGATGGGTTCAAGGCG